TTCATGCTGTATATGCAGATATAAGGTGCTGTCCAGTGGGAGTTCATGCTGTATAACACTGTCCAGTGGGAGTTCATGCTGTATAACACTGTCCAATGGGAGTTCATGCTGTATAACACTGTCCAGTGGGAGTTCATGCTGTCTATACAGATATATACTCCAGTGGGAGTTCATGCTGTCTGCACAGATATAAACTACATGCCAAACCCCGAGTCTGAGAAAACAGGACATGTCATAAGGCTTTCTACCACAGTCCTCAGCTTCATGTTGCCCCCATGCTCACCCACCGCTGCAGCGAGAGGAAGGTCCATCCACAGCCCTCCTTCACACTCGGCTTCTCAGTGTGCTGCCAGTCCAGCTGTGTGGTGACGCACACCTTCAGTCTCAGCGCTTGGAAGCCTGTGAGTTCAAGGCCAGCCTGGTCTACAGAGTGAGTTCCGGGACAGCCAGGGCTACACAGAGAAACCCTGTCTCAAAAGAAAAAAAGGGGGGTCAGTTTATGGAAGCCCCTGCTGGGCAAGCACTCTCCACAGGTGGCACCTAAGGACTTTAACATATGAAACCAGGTCTTTGTTCTCATCAATGGCTTTCAAAATTGTGCATATGTAAATATTTGCCTAATATTTTAAATAGTAGAAATGGAATTTTGCCACATTTAATTTTTACTTCATTAGGATAAAAAGCACAAGAAACATTTTCTTTTGTTTTCGAGTCAGGGTCATTTTGTGGAGAGCTGGTCTACTGCTCTCCACACAGACCAAACTGACCTTGATTCCTGGGTGATCCTCCTGCCTCTGCTCCCAAACTTTAGCATCACAAGTGAAACTCAGGTTTAATGCATTTTATTCCAGATCTGCTCTTCCAGGGGTTAACTTCCCATACAAAGTTCAGGAACTTTTCCCTATAGGAGCTAAGCCCGAAGATAACAAAAAGCCAAGAGAAAAAAAATGGTTTTTAGAGCAGAGAAGAAGAAAAGCAGGGTAGATCAGGCAGGAATAGATAGGCCTTTTGCCCACCACCACCAAAGGATCCAGGAATACACCACACAGGAGTCAAACTGGGCATGAGCGCACGGCTGAGGCCCTCAGCACACGGATGAGAATGACTCGTAGTCATTCCTGGTGCCAAGTCTCTAGACCAGCTTCCCTTCGCCGCCTGCCATGCTAGTACTGGGAGAAGGGAAGTGCCCATCTGGTAGTCATGGTGCTGGGACCCAGGCTCCATCATTGCCTGGATATGCTGCAAGGCTTGTGCTTGGCCATGTCCTTTCTGAGCTCACAATGGTGGCAATGTGAGGCTCTTGGCGCTGGGGGTGTCTACAGCCAGATGTATGGACCCTCTCTTTTCTGAAATGGTGAGCAACAGCTCTGAGCTGGGCCTATGCAGTCCCCTGTCAGTAGCCAGCGGTTATTTCCGGTGGGATTTTGCTGTGTACTAAATGTATGTAAAACTGGTTTGGAACTTAATGTGGAGCTAGATTCCAGACTCAAGTGATAATCATTTCTTTTCCATAACTATGACTATCTGGAATGTCAGGTGGTGTGTGGGAAACATTTTTGCTAAGGAAGATTATGTCAGGCTAACCAGGAAAAGCCACCCCTCCACACACCCACATCTTAGCCTGTCCTCTCACACAAAATGCTCTCTGTGGCTCACTTTGTCCTGGCTTCAAACCACTGGGGTTGCCTCCGCAGCAGCAAAGGGGAAACTGGTTTTGTTGCAAATGTGCAGTAACTTAGGCAAGGGAATAAGGAAAGTCCACCGCAGGAGTGAATGCGGAAACGCTTACACATTTAAAGCTTTCGGAGCTTTTCTCAGTTGATAAAAACGTCCTCAGAACTATGAAAACAGGAACAGAATCTCTGATAAGACAATGAGGGCATAATGACTTCATGAGAACGTGGGGCGGCTGAGAAACCACGTGGACTGGAGGAGGTAGGGGGACCAGGAAAGGATGAGCCCACTCTTAGCTCCTCCCACACATCTCCCAAAGAGACAAAACACAACAGGCCCATGGCGTTTACAGGGCACAGGCTTCACCTTCACGGCAGAGAGAATGTGACCGAATGTTTGCTGTCTCAGGCTTCTGTCCTTTTCCAGCTTATTTACGATCATCATGGGAAGGTGTGTCATCCATGGGCTAAGAATCCCTAATCTGTAGCACTGAGCCACAGCCGGGTACAGAGTAGTAGACGCTCACCGATTATTTCGGAATGAACGCACTTTCCCCTCACCCTCGTCCATAATATATCTTCTTAATGTGTAGAAACCTGTAGCTTCCTATCTGGCCACCATATTCTCCTGCCCCCGACGTCTGTATGGACTCCTACACAGAGAACTAAATTAGGTGAGGTTTTTCTAACTCTGGTCTGGTGTGGCTGGAGGAGTTCAGTTGTTACCTGGCGGCGGTTATCCCCACAGAGAGACCGCTGTGTGTCTTAAAATTATGTGTTTTATTCCTGTCCCAGATATTCTATGTAGTCAAACTCTTTGTCAGGAGGAGGGGAAAAGAAGAGACGGGAGTTGTAAAACCCTGAGTTGCCACATTCTCTGCAACATTTACACCCTGACCTTAGACCTCAGAAATCCACCATCTCAGCATCTGGACGGAGATGCGGTTCTCCTTCCATCCACAAACTCCAGCACAGGAGGGACGCGGCCGTCACAGTTCAGAGCCGGGAGCTTGGTCACCATGGAGATGAGGCAGTACCTGTTTTCTAAGATGCAGCAGTAGCCAGACTTGAAGTTGTCCTGAAGGCTGGTTCCGGGGGTAGGGCTGCTCTCTGTGGCCTTTCTGCGGTTTGTCTCAGGTTCTTAGTAAGTATTGGCTACGTGGACAATTATATTTCTCATGAGAATTCTTTCCAGTACCAGCGCAGCAAAGAAATCACTACATTTGCTAAGTTGAGGACAGTTGGATTAGCAGGTCACTTTAAAAAGAACCTCTCCCTTGAACCTGTGCTCACTGCCTGATGCCATGATCTGTTTACCTAGGAAAGGGAACAGACTTCGATGGCGGCCGAGATGAAGGAGGGGTCGGAGTCTCCAGCTGGCGACATGGAGGACATCAGTGACACCGACATCAATAAGCAAGACAATAACATGCAGAAAGAACAGAAGTAAGAGAGACCTGAATGGGGCGGATGGGGTCTGGCTTTCAGTGAGTGATGGAAATGGGGGGGTGAGGAGGCGGGGCTGGGGAGAGAGCATCCCTGGCCGTGCCCATGGCTTGAGCTCAATGCCCAGGGCCTGCAGCATGGAGGGACACTTCACCTCTCTCTTCAATAAGAAGCAAAATAAAGACAATTAAGGAAGCCATTAGGGCCACAAATTCAGTGAGTTTCCTGAGTGTAATGAATCACAAGCATTAACTATTCTCCCAACCTCTGTTTTATAAGGCCCCAGTCCCTGAGCAATATAAAAATCCCCCTAGACAGAACTCTTCCATAAAACCTGGGTGGGATTTCACAGATCTCGGTTAATGGGCCAAGGTGGTGAGCTTGAACACTGAAGCAGGTGTGTCAGCTGGAGGTTGCCAGCACACTGAAGGCTGAGGACGGGCACCTGGGCTGCAGGGTGAGCATCTCAGAAAATAAAAGCTATGCCATGATGGTCAACAGCAGCGAATGTGTGGCGAACGTTAAAAACGTTACCAGCACTCAGTCATGGAAAAGTCACTGAGGATGGCATGTAAACTTTTCACTGCTGCAGCACAGCTGCCAGCTGGTCGGTCAACTCCAGCCCTGGGATAGATCTTCTCTGGTCTGTAACAAATGCCTTCAGCTCCTTTTGCCACTATGGATTAGCCCTGTGTTCCCTGCTGGGCTCCAGGCTGTTGTTTAAGGCCCTTAGACGGTGGAAGTGTAGCTGTCAACGTCTCCAAAGCAGCATTGCCACAGTCACCCTGACGCGGCCTGAGCTCCTAGTTACTCCTGGGTTAGCATCTGCTAACAGAGATGGGAGAACACAAGGAGGAGCTGGGGAGACGCCATCTTCCAAGAGTCCATGGTAGGTGAGCCTAGGGCACATACAGCAGGCTGCACCGTGAGGGTCAAGTCCTGGAATCCTCAGTCTCCTCCCACGATTTGTGTGCGACCATGAGACATTTTCCTTTTAACGAGAGGAAGACTCCCTGTGTCCCTGGGCAAAGTCCCTCTGCTCCAGCTAAGTGTGGGCTTGTTGGGAACCTTTACGCTGGACGTAGATGGGTTTGGAAGGGGTGTTGTTTTCCTGAAGGAAAATTTTTTCGAGAGCTTACAAAATGAGCGTGCTGAGAAGACGCAGCCAGTGCACAATGAAATCCAGATGCAGGAGGGAGAAGTTCCCCCGCCGCGTGGGACCCTGTCTCTGGCTGGACACACTCAGACAGTGCGCCCCTGCCGCCGGAGAGTCCTCCCACAGATGGGTGTGAGTGCTCGCAGCACCCTCGCTGGCCGCTCAGGCTTGCTGAGCACCGAGCAAATCTGAAGGGCAATGCCGTCTCTGCGTGTCATTACCATGTGGGTTGCGCTTTCCGAGGGGCGCACTTAGCGACACCTGCTGCTGGCTGCGAGCTCTGCAGGCTTCCCGGGCAGGAGTGCGCAGAGCAGGGAGAGTCAGGCCCTGGTTCCCATAGAAACCACAGCAGAGAAACCCACCCGGATCTGTCTCAACAGCCTCAGAAAGCGTGCCGCTGCCGCGACAGATCCTGCGGAGCCGCGCAGGAGGATGAGCCCTGCAGTTCAGTTCACAGCCACGGAGGTGTCAACCGTGGCGGGGCTGAAACAGCGTGGACGAAGAATGGGGCTGTGGAAGCCGAGCAGAGCTGGAAGGAGGCTAGACAAGACATAAACCCAAGCCCTGACGTCATGACCCGCTTCCTCCAGGCTGGCCCGCCTTCCCAAGTTTCCCCACCTCTCCCCAGTTTCCTGATTGTGACTCCACCACCCTCTCACCTGGCCACCTCTGGAAACTCTCCGGTACACACATGCAGAGGTGTGCCTTCCACTGATTCTCCTGGGCCTCTCTCACACCAATCTTGTTACACCCAAGATTAGGCATGATGTAAGTGCTCAGAAAAATGGACCAAGAGGGAAGGAAGCTGGGAAGCAAAGAAGTCATTTCCTGAGTCTCAGTAAATCCTCTTGACACATGGCTGTGGCGTGGAGACGGCTGAACAGGCCATAAGTCCAGATTTGTAGAGCAATTAAAGGGTTTGGACCCATCCGATTTTGTTCCAATTTAATCATCACACACACACAGCAGTTTCTCTGAGACCACTGGAAGGGTGTTGATGTGGAGTCTATCATAAATCTTTGTTAATTCTGAAATTTGCCAGGAAAGCCAACTCCACCATTTTGGTTCAAATTTAAAGCAAGCTCTGTTAACTATTAAATACTAACCAAGAGATGGGCTTTGGTTAGGACCGTTCCCTGGAATTTCCCAGCTGGAATGGCCTCTAGCCACGTGTTGTGTGGCTCTAATAAGGACAAACCTATAGCACAGTCTCCCGTGATAATTTGCTATTTCCCAAGAACTTCGATTCCCAGCGTTCCAGGAGGAGAGCTGATTCCTGGGCAGTGGCTCCTCCAGGTTAATTTGGGCAGTGTGCATTGTTCTGAGATCAATCATGAGAACACCAGCTTGTGAACAAGTTTAGGGACTTCAATCAAATTTGTTTGAGGCTTAATGGATGCTTTAAAAACATCTTCCTAAAAAAAAAAAGTCACTTCTTACAGTGGTACTTGAAAATTTTTATTCTTCCCTCGTTCCTGGTCTCCATGAGAAAGCAATGGAAGTGTTATTAGAAATCAATTATTATCCCAATAATCTTGTCAGTATTGGAGAGTTAGTTTAGCAGCTACAGAAATTCAAGGAAGAGGCCATATCAGTGGACAGGCACGAATGTCCTTCATTCACTCATGGAAAGAGAAATATTCATGTCCTGATTTGAGCAAAAGAAATGTATTAGTGAGCTAAGAAGGGGCTGGGTGTGGTGGCACACACCTGTAATACCAGCACTCAGGGAGGCAGAGGCAGGGGAATGGCTGTGAGTTCAAGGCCAGCCTGGTCTACAAAGTGAGTCCAGGACAGCCAAGGTTAAACAGAGAAACCCTGTCTCAAAAAATAGAAAAATAATTAAAAAAAAAAAAAAAGCTAAGAAAAAATACTGAAATCCCTGATTGCAGGCATTATTATAGATTCTTAATAGATTGCAGGATTATTATAGATTCTTAATTTTCAAAACCACCAGCAATAGAATCTGCTGATCTTTCAGTTAAAAATGAAATACACAATCAGACAAGCTAACACGTTTGTTTGCATAGTTGGAAGCAGAGTTTGGGGGTGCTGGGTTCCCCAGTAGAGGTGTAACACACTTTTCAGAACTCTGAGCGCTACCTTGTGCCTCCTGTCCTCAGATGTCTTGGTTCTCATATTGGTCATTATTGTTTTGCACACAGGAAAGAAGAGAAATCTGAGATTCTGAGTTCAGAAAAGAAGCAAACTTCAGTCCATTTTACCCCCACGATAATGGCTTCAGACAGCTCGGTGACACTATTGTCACGGTCACTTTCCCAAGAGCTGCCTCTCGGCACCTGCCATATCGCTAGTCACACCTCGTCACCCTTAGGACCACGGATTTCCAAATCCACCCTCCTGAGCTGCTCGCCGGGAGACCTCAGCCTGGACAAGCCTTGTACGTAGCGAGCACCTGAGGTGTTCCCGCAGCGTGAGCCCTGGCGGGCCCTTTGTTGACCTCCTTCCCTGGGGTGTGGATGTGGCCCAGTGATGTTTGTTCCTTGGTGTCTGTCACACACAGGGTAGGCTGGCTGTGCTCAGCAGTCTACGACTCCAGATCGGAAGTGTCAAATCCAGAACACACATGTAAACGCAGGTGGAGGACTTCTGCAGCTACCGTGACGGCTCCTGGGGTCGACCATTAGCATGTTCTAGAATTGCAAGAGAGCTGAAACTTGCACTGTGAATCCCTTAGGACGCCCCCCCCACCCCCACACACACTGGAGGCTGTTTGAAAGATTAAGATACGGGGAGCCAGCATGGTGTTCGTGGAGCCGTTGTTAGCATGTTCTAGAATTGAGAACTAAAATTGCCAGCGTATATAGTTCCAAGGATTTCTGTGATGACCGCTGCTGTGAGGACTGAGCAGTGTCTTCACTGTTTGTGTAGGCTACGGTGATGGCTAGAGAGTGTCCAGTGTGGAGCAGGAAGGACCCTGGGTGGAAAACTGATGCAAAGATAAGCAGGATCTTCTCTTGCGCCTTCAGGTCAAGGCTCACACACAGAATAGATGCCAGAGGAGGAAGTTGCACAGGAGATGAACTAGCCGAGAGGGGAGCAGCAAGCTGAATTCGGAGGAGGAGAAACCGGGTGGTACACAGAGGCTCACAGGGTGCTGAGCCTCATGATGCTCCTGCCATGAATAGGTGACAGTCCCAGCAAGCTCAGAAGCAGCTCTTTCCTGCCCTCCACAGAGTGAGGAAAGAAGGAACTCAGCAGCCCTGGCTCTGATGTTCTACAGCTGCAGAGCAAGGAGCAAACCACTACCTTCCCGAGGCTCAGCTAGGCATGAGACATTATGTGGGAACCCAGCACGTAGCCAACATGTTAGGATCATGGGAAATCACATCAGCCCTTAGCCTACCTGTTAGCTCTTTCTAGAACAATCTACATTTGACCTGTGTGTCCCTGACTCCCGAGCACCTCCCTCCCTCCACCCTGCGGAGGCTGACAGCCTGGCTAGTTCTCATCTGTGTCCTGTGATTTCTGGCATTTCCCTGGGCTTCAATGTGATGCCATGCAGTTGCGTGTGACTCTCGTGGTCATTGCAGTGTGTGTCATTGTGGGTGTGACTCAGATGAACTGTCCAAAGATACTTGCTAAGTTCTTAACAGCCTTTGCCAAGACCAGTGCATGCAGCGTTCCAAATGCAAACAGGAACTTTAGGTCTAAGAAGGAATGATTTCCCATCTCCTGGTACTCCAGGCCATTGTGTTTGCCCTGCGTTTGGTTAAACTAGAAGCTCCTGATAACGCAGGGAAACTAAGCATGGTGGCCTCACCCTATGTGGCAAGAGAAGACTGGGGTGCAGCTCTTCCGTGTTACCACAGATTGTCCTGCAGATTCTGGCCTGTTGCACACTGGGACATATGGCACCCTTCTGCAATTCTCATGAACTACAAACAACCTTGGTTAATGCCTCCTTTCCTTTGAGAGCACAAGCACTCTTTCCTAGGGATGTTTCTTCTCAGCAAAAGCCTTGGAGGAACCTCTCTCTCTCTCTCTTTTTTAATTTATTCATTTTCTGTATGAGTGCTCTGTCTGCATATGCACCTACATGCCAGGAGAGGGCATCAGATCCCAGTAGAGATGGTTCTGAGCCACCATGTTAAGCAGACAGTGCTCCGAACTGCTGAGCTATCTCCCAGGCTCCTTGGAGGAACCTCTTTAGTCATCAGGGCTATTGATGTGGCTTGGCCATCAAGGTGTTCTTAGTGTGCCTGAGGCCCCAAGCACAACACTGTCACTATAGCAGAAAGCTATGACTTAATCCTATATATAGTCACCTTTCTCTGGTTTTGTTAAAGAGACCAGACTGTAAATTTGGGTTGCTTTTAGGATCTGCTGATTCTTGGCCCAGGGTCACATGAGAAAAAACCCTCCTTCTATAACCGCTAGCTGTCATTTTCTCAGTGACAACTAAACACCACACCCCTCATTTTCTCTCGTTCTTACTATCTCTTGCAGAAGGTAATATTACATAAGGCAAGATTTTTAATTTGGGAAGTGCAGCAAGCATTAACTAAAATAATAATAGTATATTTGTATATATAATGCCCAAATTTGACAGGTTTAATGTTTATCTCACAACTGTGGATGGTTTCTACTATAGTGAAATAATCAGCTACACACCCAACCGTGCTGGCGATAGGGAACAAACCAGGAATATGAATTCCCCGAGGATGCCGGGGCCGAGGTAGCTGTACAGACCACCCAAGCCTCATGCTATGCCCGAACCTTTAAGGCAGCTTGGTAACCTCTAGTCAGTGGGGGTGACACAGATGTGCCCCTCAAGGCTGTTAGAGACCCTCACCAGCATTTGCCTTCCCACTGAGTTTGGCAGGGGCAGGAAAGCCTGTCAGGAAGCATGGCTCTGTGGACACAGGAGTGGAGCGAATATCCTTTGAGACCCATGACAGCAGTCTCTCCCCTGACTGTCTCATTCCTTTACAAGGCGTAACCATCACTCCTCTGATGAAGGAACAGTGCCAGGTGAACTTCGACTCCGACACATTTGTTCTGGGAGATGGCGAGGATTACTTCCTTTCTTTGTTTCAAGAATCAAAGAAGCTCACGCCACGTCCATCCCAGACCGACAATGTGAACAAACACCTGTCTGTGATCCTGGAAGAGGTCGGCCAGTTCACATCCAGGTACACACTTGAAAACTTATCTTCTGTTGAGGTCATAGATCAGGACAGCACAGGTCTGAACCGCCATTACCAAAAACCTTGAGAAATTCCCTGAACTACAACCACGCATGCTCTGAGCATTTAGAAACAACGGCACCAAACAAGGGTTGTGAATTTTCCAAAGATGCTAGAGAAAACTAGGAAGCACAGTCCACACAGACTGTCAGCACAACTACTCACACGCGGGCCACTTATCAGTAGCCATTCAGATGGATTTAACCTCTTCTCTTAGGCCACTGGGTTAAAGGCAGTGAATTTTGTCCCAATGATCTACATTTGTGGCCATCACTTTCTGTGAGAGGATTCGCTCAGGAAGAGAGTTGTCATTAGGACTAAAGGGGAGAGCTCACACAGTCTGTTTTCCCAGCTCTCACTGTGAGCAGCCTGAGCTCAGAGAACACAAGGGCAGGCAGACAGGTGTTCAAGGCTGAAGGGAGCAGGTAAGAAGAGGTGGGTGTGCAGTTCTTCTTAGCTGTGTTTCCAATCGCTCAGGCCCTGTGTGCGGTTTAGTGGTTAATGGAGAACACCCAAGTGTTTGTTCCGCCACCTCGAAACACTGTCAGAGTCGCTCAGTGTCTACAATAAACTGATTACCGCAAGGGGTAGGAGACCTTTCGGTACTTCCAGTTACGACTCTGTGTGTGTCGGTGTGTCTGAATGTGTCTGTGTGTGTGTATCTGTGTGTGTCTTTGTGTGTATCTCTGTATCTCTGTGTGTGTCTTTGTGTGTGTCTGTGTGTGTGTGTGGTCTGTGTGTCTGAGTGTGTCTGTGTATATCTCTGTGTGTCTGTGTCTGTGTCTGTGTGTGTATTAGGTGCCCTCTCACCTGTGTATGTGGAGGGTTTGGTGTTTCAGGGGAGCCATCCAACTTGGTTTTGAAGACAGGATTTCTCATTGGCTTGAAGCTCCCAAGGAAGCTTGGGGAGCTGGTCAGTGAGCCCCAGGACTGGCTCTCTCCACCTCCCCACTGGTGGAATTCCACGTGCGTGCCTCGACCCCAGGCTTTTCCACATAGGCTCCAGGAGCAACTCAGGTCTTCACGCGTGCACCGTCGCCAGCATCACTGCTGAGCACGTTCAGGTTGGGGAAGGCCTGTAGGCTGTGTCTGAGAGACAAGTGGAATGCCCAGACCTGAGAGAGCGCTTCCAGCCTGGGTAGTCTGGGAAGACACTGGGAAGGAGCCATTGTGTAGACAGGCTTCACAGGACAAACTGGTTTAGATGTGCGGATGTGGAGTCTGTGAGAGCATCTTAGAGCATGGCTCCCAGCGTGCAGTGTGCACCTGCGTGCTCTCACTGTCCTGGCTTTGCCTCAGACCATGAGCCAGCGCCCCGGGGACATGGGCACCCGCTGCTGTTTACAGTTCCACGGGAGTGCAAAGCACAGGCACTGCCTCTTTGTCCCGCCTTCCGTGATGAAGCCTGGGCGGCCGGCCAGAGAGTCCCAGGCTCGTCCGTCTTGGCCTCTCCAGTGCTGGGATTACAAATGTGCTGCCTGGCTCTCTATGTAGATTCTGGGGTTGAGCTCAGGGCCCTACCCTGTGGAGTAGTTGCTTTACCATCTGCGCCATCTTCCCAGCCCCGCCACCACTTTGGTGAGGTTCAGCGAGGTATGATGTGCTTTGATGCAACTTCAGATCTTTTTATACTTACTATTGTTGAGCCTAAATTAAAAAAAAAAAAAAATGACCATTACGTCTTCAAATCCTTCTTTCAACACATATATTAGGCCACTTGAAATTTTGCCACAGTCTTCTAAGGTGTTATTCTATTTATTTAAACTAAACATTCCCCACTCACAGAGGGTTTAAGCATGTGGTGCTCCAGGGTTAGCATGCTGTGCTCCAGGGTTAGCATGCGGTGCTCCAAGGTTAGCATGCTGTGCTCTGGGGTTAGCATGCGGTGCTCCAAGGTTAGCATGCGGTGCTCCATGGTTAGCATGCGGTGCTCCAGGGTAGAGGAGGGTCTCATCCTTCCTGGTGGGGACGGGCAGGCCTGTGATGAGCCCCTGCCAATCCTGTCAAGCATCTTTCCCTCCATCCTCGGGGGTTTGCTCACCTGTGAGCTGAGCAAGCTCTGAGTCCACAGAGGACTGACGCATGCAGCGTTTTCTTCTAGACAAATGTGTGTTTTTTGGGATAATAATGAAACTTCACTTGACCATGCAAGAGTTTTAAAAAGCAAATACAAATATTTGAATTATATCTGCTACAAAGAAATGGCCAACCTATTCATCTGTTTAAAAACAAAAGTCAAATAGAGAAACTATTAATGAGGGAAAACAAAGGAAATCTGAAAAGTAAAAATATGTTTTGTTTTGTTGTTTTAAATAAGAATGGGCTGGAGAGGCAGCCCAGGGGCTAAGAGGGGGGCTACGAGGGGGCTGCTCTTGGGAGGGGCCTCTGTTTGCTTCCTGGTACCACGTTGTGGCTTGCAACTGCCTGTAACAGTTCCAGAGGGTCCGCCGCCTCCTTCCCGCCTCCTTCCCGCCTCCACGGGCTCCTGGATTCGTGTGGCGTATATCAGCTGACACAGGCAACCATATACACTGATAAACACAGTAAATAAACAAGCCTAAAATAAAACCTAAAAATTTCAGTTGCTGTCTTAACGAGTTTCCCGGTGGGAGGTGTGGAGGGCAGTTTAAGAGACAGGGAGGCTAAGCGGGGCTCGCCAGGCCGGGAAGTCGGCCTCCTCTCCAGAAGGAGGCCTCAGAGTGGAGGAGTGTGGCAGGGCTGGATCACAACTGTGTGAAGATGCTAAATGAAGAGCAGCTCAGATGGGGGCAAAACTGGAGAAGCCAGTGGGGTGCCGTGAGAGCGTTACACGGAGATGCTAGCCGAGGAAGGACAGCAGCCACGCAGTCTCACGTGGAGGAAGCTGGAAGAACGAGGTCCTGGAGGCACAAGGTGCCTGTTTAGGCAGGGATGCCATCCCGTCCACGGCCGGTTGGTGGCTCCTAGGTGCCACCGGGAGCTTGTGGGGAGGTGCTGCTGTGGGGTCTGAAGCCACGTGAGGGCCTCGGGTAGCACAGTGCTCATCTGCACGCTCAGCGCTCAGACGGTGAAGCCGGGACCCAAAGGCAAGGCTAGCCAGACTAGCTGGATCGGCACACCGTGGGCTCAGCAAGAGCTCCTGCCTTGAGGTGGAGCCTGATCAAGGTCGGCCAACATGAACCTCAGGCCTCCACATGCATACCCACATGTATGAGTGTGCAACTGTGTTTGTGCCACGTGCCTGATACGTAAGCAGTGAAGAGATAGTGACCCTGTCCTAACTCACCACAGTGACGTCATGACGTTCGGGCATGTAGCACGTGACGCTGAAAGTTTCAGATGTGCAAATGACCAGCGTAGGCCTGGCGACATGCTGCATTCTCAATATAAGGCAGACACAAGAAAAAATGCCACCATTGTGGCGGCTCCTCCTCAGGGTCAGAAAAGCACCGCATGTTTAGCCTTTGACCCTGGACTTTAAGGCACTTATTTTTAGGTGTCTGCATGCGTCTGTGCACACACTGTGGGTGGGTTGCATGTGGCGGCTGTGGAGGCGTGCAGAGGGCACGAGAGCCCCTGGACCGTGAGGTGTTGGAGGCCACGAGCAGCACCTCACTAACCCTTTGGTTTCCTCCTGAGTGTTTGATGCCACAGCAGCTTCTGTTGAGAGTAGGAAACAGAGAAAATTCTAGTCACATTTTCCCTGATCAGAACCAGTAGGTCAAGCCATTCTTCTTAGGCTACAAAAATACCCAAGTTCTGGGGGCCAGAGAGATGGCTCTGTGCTTCAGAGCACTGGTTGCCCTTCCAGAGGTCCCAAGTTCAATTTCCCACACCTGCACGGCAGCTCAGCCCTGGGATTCTGGTTCCAGATGGCCCAATGCCTTCTTCTGACCTCTGTGACTACCATCTTCATAGAGTGCGCAGGCGTACATACAGGCAAAACACCTGAACCCATAAAATAAAAATGAATCGTTAACAGACCTGCACGTTCTATACAGACTCTATTGCTTAAGAGAGTATATAGCTTAGCTATTATTTGGGCTTTATTATGTATGTACGTATGTACTCTTATCAAGTCTTAGCTGGCTTGGAACTTGCTGCATAGACTAGCCTGACCTTGGCTTTGTGATTTTCCCACCTCTGTGGATTGAGTGCTGAGACTATGGCAGGCACCATTCTACTGAGTTTTTACTGTGGGCCGAAGACGTTTTATTCAACCCTCCTGTGTCTTTGTGTGTTATTTTCCAGTTTTCTTGGAGACATTAAAATTGCTGAGGTGAACGTCAAGGGCTTGTTTGTGAGGCTCGTTAACACTTCCACTGACAAAGAAGTAGAGATCAGCAACCACATCCTCCAACAGAACATGAAAGGACAGGCGGTCTCAGTGTATCGATTCCTTCCCAACATCGTAATGCAGGCCAACTGCATGGTGACGGTGAGCATGGCCTGGAGCCAGCACAATCCCATGGTGACAGGAGCCAGGAACGCTGGGAGCTGGGGACACAGAAACCTGGGAATGGTGTGAGCTAGAAACAGCAGGAGCTGAGCATACAGCGATGTGTGGATTCTAGGAGTTGGGGGTATCGTGGTGAGATACGGTGACCGGGGAACAACACGGGCTGAGAATCCAGGGAGTTGGGAAGGCAGGAGCTGGAAACAAGGTCGGTGAGGAATCGATGAGCGGGAGGGAATGCCATGTGTTGAAGACAGAATGAGTTTGAAAAGTCCTGGTGTAGGAATACCAGGAGCTGAGAACAATATGAGGTGGGGACACTGTGAGCTGAGATGCAGCAAGTTTGGGGTACTGTGTGAGCTGAGAATGCCCTCAACTGAGGTTAGGTTAGCATCGGGAAGACGATCAGCCAGGAATATCAGGAGCTGGGAACACCGGGAAGCCAGGACTACTTTGAGCTGAACACCATGAGCAGAGGACACCATGGGAGAAGACGGTGACTTGAAATACCAGGAGCTGAGAACACTGTGAGCTGGGACACACTGAGCTGGAACACTGTGAGCTGGGACAACACTGAGCTGGGACCACACTGAGCTGGGAACACTGAGCTGGAACACACTGAGCTAAGAACACTGTGAGCTGGGACACACTAAGCTGGAACACACTGAGCTGGAACACACTGAGCTGGGACATACTGAGCTGGAACACTGTGAGCTGGGACACTGTGAGCTGGAACACACTGAGCTGGAACACTGTGAGCTGGAACACACTGAGCTGGAACACACTGAGCTGAAACACTGTGAGCTGGGACACTAAGAGCTGGGACACACTGAGCTGGA